AATGACAAAGTATAGTTAGCATGGACCTGTGCAATGCCCACCCTCACGTTTCCCATTTCAGATATGTGTCCCACTGTAATGGGCAGTTATTGATATTTTTGCTGAAAATGATTACTTGTATCCAAGTAAATTTGGGATATTTCTCGTGTTGTAGCCACGCCCACCTATCCCGAAACGGTCGACTGTTTCCGGATTTCCGACTCTCGCCGAAAGTGTGCCACCAAATGGCAAAAATGTGAGAGGAAGTCATACCCCCGAGCCGTAATAACACTGGTCATTCAGTATAGTTTTAAACGATATACATTTTTCGGTCGGCGTTTTTTTTTTTTGTCTATTTTATTTTTGAGAGAGAGTTTTTAGATGTTGTGTTGTGGGCAGTTGAGTTGCAGTGAAACGTATAGTCATAGTGTATGTATTCACATGTTTCTAATCGATCCGAAGGTGCGACATCAGTGGGTGAAAGCTACTTAAGCAGACAACTTTTGAAAGAAAGCGATTTCGGACCAGCCCATGATCACCGAGGCGGATTTCAGAAGAGAGAGAGACGTCCGGCAAGTGTTTCAAATGAGTTGACTTTTTTTTGCGATCGTGATTATCATTTTATAGAGACCATTTAGTCCATGTTAAGTAAAATGTAGCAATAATTTTGACAGTGACACGAAAACGAAGCGTCGGACAAACAGGAAATTACACAGCCCTTACACACTGCTAATTGTTTTCATTTTCGAAGGCTAAAAGTTTCTGAATTGTTTGGTGATTGGTGTTGAATGTCGAATTCACACCTTCGTTCTTTTTTCACCTCCATGCTTGCAGCTTGATCTGCGTAATAATTTATGAAATAAGAATCCGGGCTTGGTCAATGTGTTTCCACCAAAGTTTTAATATGATATTATAATTATGACAATCACGCCATGGATCACGCTAACTCGAATCCACTCTGAATTTATCTGTATGTGTGTCGATCTCGATTATTTTTGTTATCCAAATAAACGCCGCTTTTAACGCACTTCCCTCGTCGTGACCCGACGCGTTCACCTATTTCAACAAAATGTCAATTTATTTCCACGCAACTGTCATTTATTTAGTAACTGTGATTTGTCGTTTTTTTTTAATTATTTTATAGTGATCACTATAGTCTAATGTTTAGAATGTCAAAATATGTTCTCTTTTATTTTAACTTTGAAAGTTTTACTCAGACGATCGATGAAATAAAACAGCGTAGTGACGTGCCTAGTAACCTGCTAAATAACGAGATAATTCCGACGTCAAATTCTATTTTGTTCAGCGACAGTGTACAAACGTGCGCCGGTGTCGGTGACGATCACGGTGACCAGCTACACCAAAACGAACATATTTCGCATCTAACTCAACCCCATGCAACAAAAATTGATACTATGTGTTCATAATGGTCCATTCTTCCTCGACGAACAAGTACATAAGTGACAATTTAGTCAAAGGCGAGAAAAGTGCACAAGAAATTTGTCTTATTTACACGTATCGGCAATGCCAGCTGCCATGCGACTTCCCCCTTCTGACGTCCCAAGGGGAATTACTGTATGCAAATGAGAAGCTAATGAGGAGCCTCGTTTTAAAATACACAAAAATATAGTTGCCGTAGACTTAGCTTAAAACAAATTTTTTCACTTAAAAAAATAATTCATGCTTAGAAACATAAAAATGAATAATATTTATGTATCAATGGACAATTTTAGGCGTGAAAATAGCAGCCATTTCACAGGCACTTTCAGTTGCAATGACAAAGTATAGTTAGCATGGACCTTCAGTTGCAATGACGAAGTATAGTTAGCATGGACTTTTAGATGCAATGGCAAAGTATAGTTAGCATGGACTTTCAGTTGCAATGACATAACTAAATATCATCAGAATGTATCTTCAGTTACAAGGTACCACAAAACATAATCATCGTGGACAGACATGACAAAAAATAGTCAGCATGCACCTTCAGTTGCAAACACCCAACATATAATCAGCGTTGACCTCCATAAGTCATACTCACCTTATCATTATCCAATTGTGGCCACTGGATAAACTCAATAGACTAACCGCATCTTAGTCAGGCCTTATTTCTCAGTGCAAATAAACTTGATGACTTGAGCCATATTTCTCCAACGCAATTTCAAAATTTACGACCACTAATAAATGTGTAGGGATCGTAGTGATTACAGACGGGTGGGAGTAATGTAAGTATGACTTTACTGTGTAAAATATCCCTAGGGCAATACTTGTAATTTATTTATTACTTTCAGACATTGGATAAACGCAGTAAGCAGAATACAAAGCAAACCAAGGCTGTTGTGATCTCCTCGAGTTCTGAGCCAAAAGTGGCCATTCTGTGACAGAAAAGTAGTTTTTGGAGGCATAACCACATAATTAATTAAACTAGCTAACTCTTAATAAGACATAAAACATAACAAACAACATTATTGTTGAATCGGTATTGTCTCTCCCTAGAATCTGAGTTTTAGATGAATTTAGGGTCGAAACGTTAATATTATAGTTACGACTTCTACTAAAAATAACTCTAGAAAGCTGGGGGGAATAGCTTATTTCACAATTATAGTAGCAATAAAAACACATAGCGAAAACTGTTAACTGAGAAATTTGGACCTAAAACTCAACTTTCCAAATAGGCAGCCTTCCTACTCTAGTTTTTTTTCTTTCTATGTTTTGGCCACACAGACTGACTTGCTGACCAGTGATCAATGGGCCCTGATGAATCTGTGCAATTGTCAGAAAACAAGATGGCTGATAGGCGAGAGTCCCTTTGTGTGAAACAAATGATAGCAACACATCCACTTCTATTGGCACATAAAGTTCCGGATGGTCTGCTTGCGTCTCACTACACCTATCATGGAATGTTTTCATCCATACTAGTAAAATCAAATGATTTTGGGTCTAGTGATATTGTCAAACGCTCGGTGTGTAACATACTCATGAGGAGCTCCCTGTGATTTTGTGCCAGGAGTAACAGGTCATCTGGAAGACTCACTGGCTTTGCTACTAACTAGGGACCTGAGTATTAAAAACCGAAGTCTCGCTGGCCAATTCTAAATAATGGCTGGTGAACATTATAGTTGATAGCAGCTTCGGTTGGACCCGCTAAATTGCAAGCCACCAAGACAGCAGTGGTCCTAACAAATGCGCACGCATTCACGCACAAGATCTCAGGTTAGTACTCTCTTGCTCAGTGAATGGGAAGCGGCATCTCCTCATAGCAAAGTGGTTTGCATCCTACTGGGCCGGTCACCGGTAATCAAGTAGTGTGAATCCCATCTGAACACAGTCTCTAAAAGCGAAAATGCTACATAATTTTAGCTCAAAATCAAGATAACCTAGGAACAAAATCCAATTGTTGCTGATAAAATATATCTAAATCACAACTATGGCACAACATAATGATAAGCAATGATGGTAAAACCTCGAAAAAGTAAGTTATTTATGATATATATACGTCATCATTAATAGATGATATTTTATTGTGGTATTCTCATTATAACCTAACTTAGTGTTAATTCCGGGTTATTAAAGTAATGTAAAGAATTGAATATTAAAAACAATGGGCGGGATTCTAGAAGGTTTAACAGCAAATAAACACATTAAATTATCCACGCACATTTTATTTTATTTTGTTATTTAACTTTTTTATTACATTTGATGGATGAAAGTAAAACATGAAATTAAATACACTATGCGCAAACAAGCATTATTACAAAAACAAAAAAGCTAACTAAGTGAAGGAAACAAATAATTTGCACGGTTTTTTTACATCTCAAATTTGTTCATGTCAGCATGGAGCTCCGGGAAGTTGTTTTGTTCTTGGCTTTGCTTTATTCTCCTCAGTTATCATAGCTTACATTAATATTAATTTTAATATATTAAGTCGAGCAGAAACGGTCAAGAGACTGCACACAGAACCCATGTTTCTGGGTGTGAATTCTAAATATAGGCATGCAGCTTGTGTAAACGCATGAATGACACTAGTCAAAAAGAGTTGCATCTCTAAGTTTTCTAATAATCCAGTATCATGACGTGGTCAAGCGAGTTACCCCACCCTCTCTGAAAGCCTCACCCGAGAGAGTCCGCCGTTAAGGCGCAATAAGTCACCACGACCAAGTTCTGAATCTTGGAGTACATGTAGTTGAACTGGTCCGCAACCGAATAACTGAATGTGTTTGTTGTTTATTTCGGTTTTCACTAACATCCTAGAAACATTTGTTTACAATAAGAAAAGAATTACTTGATATCTTACTGCTATACTGCTATATTCTCCCTTTGCTCAACAAGAAACTGGCATGAGCACTGAACTCGGCCTAAACTGTACATGCAGCTTAAAGGAAACATCAATCCAAACAACATAATGACCCCTAAAGAAAAAGCTCCACAAATGTAGGAGAATGCAATTCACAGTTTTTTTTCCCCAATTTCTGACAACAGATTCCATGGTGTCATACTTTACCCATAATCCTTTGCTTGAACATCAAGTTAGCTGACTACATAATACTAATGAAAAGTTGAATATCTGGAGAATGAAAAGTGATATAAAAACTGTAAATTGCATTCTCCTACATTTGTGGAGCTTTTTCTTTAGAGGTCATTATGTTGTTTGGATTGATGTTTCCTTGAAAAATGACAAAACACTTTAATATGAATAAACTGTTAAAATTACTGGTATAGGCAAGTCCATTTCCCGGATGTAAATGGGTGATGTACAAAAATAATGATTATAGGTGTGTGCGTGCATATAACTGTATATAACTGAATTTGTTTCATCGCAGTGACTGAGCAATGCTATGATTGTTATAACGGGCAGTGGACCTGGGTGAGTGCTCCCTCCCAATCGGCTTTATTCCACGTGAGTGCGACTAATATATGTATTATTTTTTTTGCCGGTATTCGTTCTACTGGTTGTACTATAAATCGTGAAATGGGTATCTGTTGCCATCGTGTGACGTTAAAAGGACATACTTAAATCGCTTGTTATGAATGTGTTCAGATTCATACTTAGCCCTCTGGTGAAAAATGCTGTTTTTGCCGGCACAGTCTTCGGGGCATCCGAATTCACTCAACAGACGCTACGCGGAGATGACAAGTATGACTATGGCTACATTGGTCGTGTTGCATTGACGGGGCTGTTGTTCTATGGGCCATTTTGTCACTATTTTTATCGCGCGTTGGACAACGCATGGAAGGGAACCACAACGCGTATGATAATAAAGAAATTGGTGCTAGATCAGACCATAGCTGGACCAGTCAGTATCGGTGGTTTTTATATAGGTAATATATCACACGACCTTATATTGACATGACGGATACAATGAAACATGTATATATTTTTAGTCTATGCCGTGATTAGCTGTCTTGTACAATATTGGAGTGGTACTAACAGCGAAATGATTGGCTGGTCAGGAGTCTGGTTTATTTCACAATAGGTGATTTTCCGAACAATTGCGAGATCTCGCGAGATGCATGAAAGACGCGCGTCGAACGTCTGCCGCAAAAATCGAACGATTTGATTTTGCACTAGAATTTCTTTATTTCGCAGCTTACATTGACCGGCCGATCTTCGACAGAGGAATATTGCTTCCGAATACCCTCACTTAATCGAAATTGCCTATCATCAAATGTGGACAGCACATTATTAAGCATGGAAATGTCCCCGAAATACTTTCGCGTTTGTCGAATCCCACGCGATGTTTGACGCGACTACGACGCTATGACCTTTGTTTGTCCTGTTTTTACGTTCGATTTCACGCATAACGCGTGATTCTCGCAGTGTACGGAAAATGGTTTATTACTTAGATACTGTACTGATGCACTGGGTATGGAAAATCCCAGGGGACAAACTTTCTTGCGAAACACATCTGCATTTATTACTGCTATTACCCAAATATTATTAAAACAGAACGTCGTCTCATCCCGCCATGTCATGTGCTGTGTATCAGTTGTATTGCATTATTCTCTCCTTTATATTTACAGTGCTAGACGTTCTTGAAGGAAAGAAAGATATTTTTGCTGAAGCAAAGGTTAAAACACTACCAAGCTGGGGAGCTTGTTTACTGTTCTGGCCACCGGTCCAGGTAACATAATTTTTTTTCAACCACGACTCCACTGTGCCCGCCACACCATTGTGGTCACAAATGCCGTTCCCATTTGCACACAAATCAAAACCAATTTGGAATTAGGGGTGATATTTAGATAAATTTCGTCGGAGCATGTGTATTTAGGAGCTCAGACAATATGGTGCCTATTATCGGACAGACCACGATGCATGAAAATGCGCATCTTCGCCATCTAAGGTCCGTTTATTACTTGTAGATCATCGCCTAGACACTACTATTTCCTTGATAACTTGAGTGAGTGTGTATTAAATGGCGGTGGTCGTCGCGCAGCGATTGTTCGAATTTCATGTAAACAAACAATGTATTTTACACACATTGTATACGTCGCTATGAGTTCCATATCGAACAGGACGCGGTGCGACGACCACCGCCCTTTAAAGTGTGCTCTTTTTTGCAAATCGACATCTCGCCATCTTGTTTAATCCATTCCCATATCG